ATAAAGGATATATATATATATATATATATATATATAATATTTGCTATTATTGTTCAATTATTAGCTGTTGGTGTTGTTTTTAATATGACTTGGAGTTTTATTTTATAATTCGTTACAATAATTAATGAAATTTTTTATTAAACAAAATGATCATTGGTGATACTTTTATAGAATATGCAAGTGCAAATAAACAACTTTCAGGACAGTGGGCGCATATGCCTCCATTAACATTTTTTATATATAGTCTATATATAGTGTCTCTCTCTATCTCTTTCTCTATGTATATATATTAAGTGTTTCTATTTTTTATAAATTTTTATTTTGTAAAAAAAAGTTAGTTAATATATTAATTTTTTGAAATATTTTTTTAAGTATATATAACATTCTTCCTATCTTATATAAGTATCATATTATCTTTTTAATATAATATTAAGCACAAACTAGTAAAATCAAAGGTTATTACTTGAATAATGTAATTGTACCTACATGTGAAGAGATGATAAAAGTTGTATGTGTAAGAATAACAAGTAAATCCATACTCGTGGTGTACAAACTTGTCCTGATTTTAATGGGAAATACTTAATTTAACTAAATATGGGTACGGGTACGGATACGAATACGGATATGGATACAGAGACGAATAATACTTGATTCATTAAATCTAGTACGGGAATCGGGACTGGTATATACATACCCGCCCCATACCCATATCAATACCCACTTAAATTTTATAAATATTTAATTTATATTTTTTTAGAATTTACTTAAAATTTATGCAATTTCTTACTCTATTTTTTATTTATGGCAAATAAAGTTTAATTGATATAATTTTGTAATTATTATTTTATGTTCAATTTTTTTTTATATATTTCTTTGCAAAAAAATAATATTTAATTAATTTTTGGACAGGTACACATATACAGAGTACACCCAATACTGACGGGTACGAAGATGGGGACACAAATTTCATATCCGTCGAGTATGAGAACATGAATAGGTATAAGGTACGAAAATGAGAATGAACACAAGGACGGATATAGAAAAACACGTAGTTGCCCCATCCCATTGCCATCCCTATGTATGTGCTAGAGAATTAGGTATTATTGTCATAATGCATGATTATTTAATAGAAGCATTCACTGCAAATACTAACTCAGCTCACTATTGTTGAGATAATGGTCTATTTCTTCTTATACATTGTGCATGCATGCAGTTATAGATAAACAAAAGAATCATGGTATACACTTTTGTGTAATAGCTAAAGTGTTACATTTGTTTGGTGGAAATAATGTTCACTCTAGCAACATAAGCCAAATTAGGCTTGCTATAAAACATACCTTACATTATACTCCTACTCCACTTATATATGAAATAGAATACATCTTCTTCCATTCCTCTTTTGTGCTAGGAGCTTGTGTGATAGAAAGTTTTGTGTGATGATTTAAAGGAATGCTAACAGATTTAGATTGTTGCATTCTAAACCTCTTCACTACCTTATGCATGTACCTTTGTTAAGATAAAAAAAATTCTCTCTCTAATTTATTTCTCACAATATTCATCCTAAGTATCCTCTTAGTTATACTGAAATCTTTCATCTCAAACTCAGAATTTAATTTCTCTTTTAGTATACCAATCTTATCCTTTGTAAAGCTTTCTACCAGAATATCATCCCCATATAAGAACAAGAAAAGAACACAGTTTTCTCCTATTTTGAATATGTAAATGTAGTTGTCATAGTTGTTCCCCAAAAGACCCAAGCTTAACAAAAAAATTATCAAACTTCTTATACCACAAATGCAAACTTTGTTTCATGTCATAAAGTAATTTTCTCAAGAGACAGACCTTAGACTTATCATTTGCAAACCCCTTAGGTTGTTGCATATAGATATAGTCTCCTTAAGATTCCCATGAAGAAAAGTTATTTTGACATCCAATTATTTCAACTCTAGATTATACTAATTCACAATTGCCATCAAAATCCTTGTAGAACAATGTTTGACCACATGTGAAATATTTAATTATAGTCAATCCCTTCCACTTGGGTAAACCATTTTGCCACAAGCTTGCCTTGTACCTTGCCTTCTCCACACCTAGAATACCTTTTTTTCTTTCTTGAAGATCCACTGGCATCAACTACCCTTTGATTCTTGGGTAGATCCACAAGCTTCCAAGTCTAATTTTTATCCAAGGACTCTATTTCTTCATTTACAACTTACAATCAATTTTGTTTTTCATTACTCTCCATATCCTTTTTAAAACTCCTTGGTTCTAAGTCTTGTATCTCTCTAGCCACAATAAGAGCATAGCAGATAAAGTCTACTTAAATCTCTTAAAAGGTACAATATTCCTCCTAATACAATATTTCGTCTAGTTCAATCTCTTGTTAGTTGATACTCTAAACTAGCAGATAATACATTATCTGTTGATACACCATTTATTGGTGTAGTACTATTTCCATAATCACCAGTAGGAGACTCCAACTCAAATTGAGTTTTCTCCTTAACTATTTTTGAGTTGCTTTCTTATAGGATTTTACACATTATCCACATTATAAAGCATTTTAAGTCTTCAGGATCTAACTTCCATAACTGGTAACCCTTCACACCCTCTAGATAACTAATGAAGATACACTTCATAGTTCGAGCCTCAAGTTTTTCTTTCTTGATATGATCAAAAGTTAAAGCACCAAAAACCTTCAAATTTGAATAGTTTGTTGGTTTACCACTCCACTTTTCCATAGGTGACTTGAAATTTAAAGCTAAAGATAGACATGCATTTATCAAACACACCATAGTATTTGTAGCTTCACCCTAGAAACTCTTAGGCAGACTTGCACCCAACAACATACATCTCACACATTCCAAAATGGTCATGTTCATCCTCTCCACTAGGCTATTTTGTTGAGGATTATGAGTTATAGTCTTATGTCTTTTAATTCCCTATTTTTTGCAAAACTCATTAAATTGCTCTAAAACAAACTCTAAGCCATTGTCAATCCTGAAAGCCTTTAGTTTTGTTCCTATTTGATTTTTTACAAGAGTGTGTCATTCTGTAAACTTTTGGAATGTTTCAAATTTACTTTTCAAAATATATATCCACACTCTTCTTGAAAAGTCATAAATCATAATCAGGAAATAGGAACCTCCTCCATGAGTCTTCACCCTTGAAGGACCCCAAAGATTTGAGTGAACATACTTAAAGGGTCTACTAGAAATATGTATATTAGTCTCAAACTTAACCTTATGAGATTTTCCTAATATGCAATGATCACAAAAATCTAGTTTGTCAAATTTATCATTATTCAACAAATTTTGTTTTTCTAGTTTCACTAAACCTTTTTCGTTGACATGCCAAGCCTAAAATGTCATAATTTTGTTTTATCATGCATAGTTTGACTTTCTACAAATGCATGAGCAATAAAAATATATCCATCGAGAATTTACACACCATTTATTTTAGTTCCCTTAACAACTATTATAAGGCACCATTAGAGATCTTCATCATACTATGTTCAATTTTAGTAGAACCCAAACCATCAAACATGCTTATTTACAAAAGATTCATCTTAAGTTTAAGGACATATCACACATCTTGCAATAAAATATCATGATTATCAAATATTCTCAAACGGATAATACTCATACCTTCTAACAAGCTTTTGTTATTGCCAAGAAGCACCACTCTGTTTTCTTTGAGTTCCAAAGTCTCAAAGAAATCCTTCACAAGACACATGTGGTAGGTACACCCAAAATCCATAACTCAATTCCTTTACATTTCTGATGTTGTTGCTACCAACACCCATGCACTCTTATAACCCTCTTAAACAACAATGATATCCAAAGAATCAATAGGGCTTTTGGATTCATTATCTTCTTTCTGAAGACAATTTCTCCTATAATGACTAGTTTTACAATAGATATAATATCTAGGTTTAAACTTAGTGTTACACTTCCATTTTGATGTAGACTTTTTTTTTCCATTGGTTCTTTCTTCTCAGAGTTTTCCTTTTAACACGTTCAAGCCTTCACAATTACCCTTTGTCTTTAACTCTTGCTTATTTTGAAGTTCCTTAGTCCAAATTGAGGTTCGAACCTCATCCAAGGTAATGGCTTGATCTTTTCCATATAAAATAGCATCCTTAAAATGCTTAAAGGATTTCAGTAAAGAGTTAAGTAGGAGCAAAGCTTTATCCTTATCTTAAGCTTCACCTTAATGTTTTCCAAGTCATAAGAATCTTGTTAAAGTCTCCAAGTTGTTCTTGAACCGATCTTGCTTCTGTCATCTTGAAAGGATAAAATTGTTGCTTCAAATAGAATCGGTTTGTCAAAGACTTTGTCATGTATAAAGATTATAGTTTGACCCACATGGCAACAATTGTCTTTTCTCTTGTAACCTCCCTTGGGGCTTTATCACCAAGACATAAGATGATAACACTTCTTGCCTTATAAATCATCTCACTCTCCTCTTTTTGTGATAATGATCCAAATTTTTTTGTCTCACCCTTTAGAGCTTCAACTCCCTATTACACCAAGATAGCTCCCATCTTTATCTTTCATAACCTAGAGCCATTATTCCTCAAAAACTTCTCAATATCATACTTGATTGTTTTCATAATTCAACCTTTCTTTTTCTTTCTTCTCCCTACAAGCAACACCATTTGTTGGTTCTAAAACAAGAAAGAAAGCAAATAAGAGCAGACCTTTGCAAGAACAAACCAAAAACTATAAAAATAAGAATATCCAACAAGAATGTAAAATATAAATGTAGAAAAAATACAATAGCAAATGAAAAAGATTGAGAAAAGAGAATTCAATGTATTTATGTAGTTTAATTAATTTAGCCTAAATCCACAAGACAGATTCAACTATTTGAAAACAAGAAGAAGGTAATGTCACACACACATACGTATGTCTTGATATTCAGTCTATTGAACAAGTTTGATATCAATGGATATTTATTTATATTGGTTCGTACAAAACACGTTGTCATATGTCTATTTTAATATAACAAATCTTAGTTGTCAAAAAACCACGATGTAAAAATAAAATCAAGACATTGTCCTTCAGTTTGGTAAAATAATAATAATAATAATAATAATAACCCAGAGAAATATCAAAACAACATTTGGCAGTGCACGTCGTGGTATTGAGTCTATGGAACAAGTTTGATATAAATAAATATTTGTATATCTTGGTACGTTCAAACAAAAATACGTCGTGACATATGTTTCTATAATAAAATTCAAGTTGTCAAAAGACAGAGTATTAAAATTAAGACATGCTAAACAATATTATCTTCACTAAAAATATATATATATATATATATATATATATATA